CATCTCCTGCCTTACATGATGTACATGATCTCTTTTCTAAATCATTGTTTGCATTAAACGCTTTGCTCATCATTTGTTCAGCTGATACTAATTTTAATAAAGGATTTTCCTTTATGCTTTCTTCACTGCATGTTCTTTAATAGTATAGTATTGCAACATCATTCTGGAAAGTCTCCTTTAAAAAATGTTCACCAACATCCCATAATGACTATAATTACTGTATCATGATTAACCATTTAACCAAATGAATATAGGAGCTCATTCAAACAGCATAAGCAGCTTTCACAATCTCATTTGTTTTTTTGTGATATGTTTTGCTATAATAATTGTAGTATTCTTTAAGGGATGGAGGTCTTAACTCCTAAAACTTGATGCTTATATATTTCTTTTTTTTCCTTAAATTATATTAGAAAGCCACTGGTTAGAAAAAAAAACATAATTTTTAAAGTACATATTCATTAACTTTCTAGGCTTTGATTTTCTGCTTCAGTAGGAAGCTAAAATTGGTCAGAACAAGCATTTGATGCTCTAAAATGGTATGATCCAAGATAGTAAAATGCATTTTTTCAAAGTATTTTAACACATGCATTTCTATCCCTGTTGAAAAAAAACAGCATATGCTGGTTAGGTATGTTTTGATGCTGGGATGCTGGTCCTTTGCTGGTTTATGCTGGTCCTTTTGCTGGTTTATGCTGGTCCTTTTGCCGGTTCAAGCTGGTCCTTTTGCGGTTCAAGCTGGTCCTTTTGCCGGTTTAAGCTGGTCCTTTTGCTGGTTTAAGCTGGTCCTTTTGCCGGTTCAAGCTGGTCCTTTTGCTGGTTTAAGCTGGTCCTTTTGCTGGTTTAAGCTGGTCCTTTTGCCGGTTTAAGCTGGTCCTTTTGCCGGTTTATGCTGGTTCTTTTGCCGGTTTATGGTGGTCCTTTTGCCGGTTTATGGTGGTCATATGCTGGCAAAGGACCAGCATAAACCAGCAAAGGACCAGTTTAAACCAGCATCCCAGCATCAAAACATACCTAACCAGCATATGCTGGTTTTTTCAACAGGGTAGTCTTTGGGCACATAGACATTAGGTTAACATTCCGATATAAAGATGTTTTTTGCAACGAGTATAGCCTATAATTGTAAATACAAACGCATGTTTTGACGGAAATATTCCGTTCTGTCATGCATGGTTGTGTAATAAATTAAATATGAGTTTCATACATGCACACTGCCATATCATATATCTCGGACACGTACTTCCGGTGATAGAGGAAGTAACCGCTGCACGTCCATTAAAAGCAGAATTAATGGCTTTTGTATAAAATACTGTGAAATATAGAAGAACCGCGGACAAATGAGGAGTTTGCATTGACAAATGATGCTTGATATCGAACAGAGAGGCAGCGAGCACCGTGCGTGAGCGGACATTGGAGTTGATTCTCCCGTATGAAGGTACTTGATGCTTTTGTGGAGCTCTTTGTGTTGCTGCAGATCATCAGACTCGCAGCTCTGTGTCAAACCCGATGCAGCTGTCAGCAGAGACCACAGTTTTGTAGCGACTGTGATGAGCAGAGTCGGCTCGCTCGGGTTTCAGACAGAGTCGTGTTGTTTGGAAGAGAAGCACAGACACCAGCGCTTTATGTGTCGTGTAACTGATGAGAACAGGACTAATGTAGTAACAGTGGCTGTGGGCGGTGGTCTTGTGCAGTTGTTGATGATAGGGGTGTGTCTTCAGCTTATTCCACTAATAAAAAAAGTACTTTGGAAATTCCATGTATTGTTGTTTTTTGAACTTGTGTTAAATACCGGAAGTGCTTAAGAATACAGTGTAAATATTGTGGTAAATTAATATGCTAATTATTCATTATTGGTTGTATATCAACATACCATCACTATACCAGAATGTGTTGTAAAAGACTAGACGATCTGATACAAGTATTTTAAAGGGATCTTATCTATTCATGAACAGCTTGTAACACTCCAAAGAGAAAGGAAACCTTGAAATCGCATCATATGACCCCTTTAAATTATAAGATATTATAATATCATAACTCGTATATCATAATATCATTCCAGTGAAACACTTCTCCACTTGAAAAAGTTCTCCAGTCATTTAGTCCGCTTAAACTTCTGTCCTTTCTTATAATTGACCGCAAGAGATCTGCCTTCATCCAATCATCAGTCACTGGAAGCATAACCCCTTTATGAAGTAGTTGTTTGATTTATTTAGACCTGTTATTTATTAAATCAAAATACTTTAAATTGGATGCTTAGAAATTTGAGGCTTTTTTACTTGCTTACTAAGGAGACACTGGTGGTCTTATTTTGTTGGTAAAATCAAGTCCTGGCCGAAATTATTATTATTATTTTAATTATGTTACATAATGAAAATAAACTGAGTTGCAGCTGCCATTCAATGTTGAATTTAACCCTAAAAAGGGCAAACCCATAAAGAGATATCAGAAAATTAATTTAATGCTATTTTCCATCTTATTGGGACTCAAATAATAAAATTTCATGATTTTTTTTCCAAAACTTGACTCTTATATTTGATTTTAATGTTTGTATCGCCCAGGATACGTGACCCCTTTGGGGGTATAAATTCACTGGAAACAAAACACTTGTTTGTCAATGCTTGTTACAGCATGGTTGTAATTCCTGAATGCTTTGGAGTACAGACCTAAGCTTGGTCTCTTACACAAATCAGATTATTGCTGAAGTGAAAGCATTTATAAAAAAGTTATAAAAGTTTAAGTTTACCATAAAGATAATGTAGTATACTAATTGTTTTTATTTTATATAAAATAAATAGTTTATAAAATATATTGCACTCTGAAATTACTATTAAAATGAAAGCCATATGTCTAACCGATTTATGTTCCAAATTTGAAGTTGATATCACAAAAATTGGGGCTCCTGTGAGAATTTCTTTGGGCACTATACCAAAAACAACCACTGGGTTACACCCAAACTCTATTGAATTTTTCTAATGCAGTTTTCTGTCACAAATCAATCATTTTCTGTCACAATATCACATCTATTACAAAACATTCACCAAATATGGAATCTTGACTGTCAGACCTGTCCACCGATACCTATGCGTTTGGTCAAGATTACAAAAAGATTTGATTTTCTAAAACACAAGCCACAAAGTCACACAGTATATATTTATGTTTTATATCTTGATTTATACCCTAAAAGGGCGACATATCCCCTGAGATACAAACATTTAGAGACAGATTACAAAAAATGTAAGCATTTAATTCATAAAATTTCAATGTAAACCTAATAAGCTAATGCTGAACAACAGCTTTTTAAACAGGTAAGTCCCCTCCGACGTGTGTAAATATGTGAACTAGATCAACTTTTATCGGAGGGTGAGTAGATTTCCCACTACAGGCGGCCATGCAGTTTTAAATGCTGCCCGTGAGCTAAACAAAGAATGGAGAAACAAAAGTCACCTCATCTAAATATTCACAACAAACACCCTTTCAAGATGAAACCAAGAAATGAGACCTACGCTTTCACTGCTTCTCCCCACAGCTTCTCAAATGTTTGTATCCCCAGGATACGTCGCCCCTTTTAGGGTTAATGATGTCAATATGATTCTTGATTGCTTAAATGTCATCCAGCTTGTGTTGTTATTGACCAGCAGGATGGTAATTATTGTTTAGTGGCCGTCAAGATTACAAAAAGATTTGATTTTCTAAAACACAAGCCACAAAGTCACACAGTATATATTTATGTTTTATATCTTGATTTATACCCTAAAAGGGCGACATATCCCCTGAGATACAAACATTTAGAGACAGATTACAAAAAATGTAAGCATTTAATTCATAAAATTTCAATGTAAACCTAATAAGCTAATGCTGAACAACAGCTTTTTAAACAGGTAAGTCCCCTCCGACGTGTGTAAATATGTGAACTAGATCAACTTTTATCGGAGGGTGAGTAGATTTCCCACTACAGGCGGCCATGCAGTTTTAAATGCTGCCCGTGAGCTAAACAAAGAATGGAGAAACAAAAGTCACCTCATCTTAATATTCACAACAAACACCCTTTTAAGATGAAACCAAGAAATGAGACCTACACTTTCACTGCTTCTCTCCACAGCTTCTCAAATATTTGTATCCCTCAGGATGCGTCGCCCCTTTTAGGGTTAAGTTTATCCTATGCAAAAGAAATATTAATAATAATTTCATCAAGCTATACCATAATATCACAGTACTTTATTGTAAAGGAGTAGCCGATCACACTGAGATAAAGGTATAGTCTAATAGATACAATAATATTGATATACACAAGTGTTCACCAGTGAAAATGCTTTTTTTAATAAAAAAAACAAAAAAAATTTTTAACTATTATAACTAATATAATTCAATTTATATTGAAAAGTGAATTCATTTTATCAAGCTATACCATAATGTTACAGTACTTTATTGTAAGGGACCACCCAGTTACACTAATAGAAGTATATTAATCTATTGGATAAAATACACAAGTGTTCACCAGTGAAAATGATTTTATTTTGCTGTTTTTTTTAAAAATTTTATTTAAAAAGATACTAAATTTTCTTTGTGACAACTAATGACAATTATCACTAACTATTCGCTTAACAATTTAAGATAAAAGTGAAAATTAGAATTTTAAATTGAACAAAAATTCTAATTTATGCCAACCTTTGCTTAAAATCGGCATTAAAATTTGAAATAAACTTTTTATTTTTCTAAATGCGTCTTGATGTTATTGTAAACATTATGGAAGTAAAATTGGTTTCAAATTTCAAGTTTATTATAAGAAGAAAAAAAAACATTTGTATTGAAAAATTAATGATTAATCATTTTATCATACCATAATGTCACAGCACTTTATTGTAAATGAGTAGACTGATATAATAATCTATGGTTTCATTTAGCTTTCTTTAATCATATTAATAGCCTAACAATTTCAAAAATTGAACAAAAGTTGAATTGAAAAACGTTTTTAAGTCACCCTTTTTCTTTAAAGTTGGCATGAAATGGGGAACCCTGAGATGGATCTTCTAGCAGCACAAGCACTTAATACAGAAGCTCGAGCGGACAACACAGGTAAAGAGCCTTATCTGGAGTCTCTGATGAGAAGTGCTTGAGTCACACTTAAAATTTCTGAATGTCGTTGCATTGGATAACACAATATTACACGCATGCGATATCAGCAAATAACTCCTGCACAAGATTTTCTCAGTACGTCACTTTTTTGAGCCCCTTTTTGCGGCTACTTTTAACAAATTGGTCTTTTTTGTTGTTGTAGTAGCCTGTCGCTGGAGCAGTTACACGATGCTCAGGCTCGTCCCATCTATTAATTTATTTAAAACAGTTATTCATTAAAAATATTCATTGGCATAATCTTTTATTATTTCTTAGAAAAAAAATTTAACTGCTACACTTAAAGGGTTAGTTCACCCAAAAATGAAAATTAGGCTGTGTTTTACTCACCCCCGAGGCATCCTAGGTGTTTATGACTTTCTTCTTTCAGACGAATCCAGTCGGAGTTATATTAAAGATTGTCCTGGCTCTTCCAAGCTCTATCATTGCAGTCAGCGGGTGTTGCAGTTCAACAGTCCACAAGTCGTCAAATAAAGCTCGCGCATTCATAATAAAACATGCCGCAGACGGCTCCAGGGGATGAATAAAGGCCCCCTGTAGCGAATCCATGAGTTTTTGTAAGAAAAATATCCATATTTCAAACGTAATAAACACTTTTCTCTCACTTCCGTTGACTGTCGTACACTGAAGCCGTTCCGGCGGATGACGTAAGACGCGTGGTGTTACGTGATTAGTGACGAATGTGGAGAGAAAACAAAACAAAACTCCGGTCACGAATTAGAAATACAAACCGAAGGTTTGCAAAGAAAAATGTTGGAGTATTTCGATATAAACCAAGAAGAGACTGGTTTTCCTTTGCTAAAGTAAGGAAACTTTGCTTCCTTTGCACCTATTAAACAAACTCGCGAGACTAGCATATCTCAGAGGCGCGTGCGCTGCGTCATCCGCCGGAACGGCTTCAGTGTATGACAGTCAGCGGAAGTGATATAAAAGTGTTTATTACGTTTGAAATATGCATATTTTTCTTACAAAAACACATGGATTCGCTACAGGAGGCATTTATTCACCCCCCAGGAGCCAACACAGCCTAATTTTCATTTTTGGGTGAACTAACCCTTTAATATTTGGAAAACTTTTCTCTACAAAATCTAAGTTTGGCATGACCAACAAAATTGTGTTATTGTAGTATTGTTTATTTATTTTTATTATAGTATTTATTCATATTTCCTACTTATTTAGCTCTTTTTAAATAATTTTAGGTTTTCTTGTTTTACTTTACAGTTTAGTAATTTTTGTTTTGTCCTTTCGTTTTAATATTTCTATTTAGCTTTACTTTATTTTTATTTTAGTTTTAGTCATTTTAGTACCTAATTTGTTGTATTTATTTGCCAAGGCAACATTTATAAATTATTTATATTTTATTATATTTCAGCTTTATTTCAATGAATTTAAAAAATATATTTTTAATAGTTTTAGTTAACAATAACAATACTGCAACAAAGTCACATGGTATTTGAAAATAATGTTTAAGACACTCACAAGTACTTAAAAGAAGGTTTTACTTTTTACTTGATTACACCAGGCATTAAATATCTCTACTCTATATAGATATCTATAGAGAGAGAGAGCATGAGTATAAATATCTCTAACTCTACTCTGAAAAAAAACCCTTATAAAACCAACATGAATACACAAGAGTACATTTCTAAGAACATAAAAATGTTACCTATTCTAATCTTACCTATTGTTTTTTTTTATTAGAATCTTTTTTTTTTATGGTTTGCTTGAAAGGCATGCTTGTGCATTGTCTTTTGAGATAATGAGGCTTGGATTGATATTTTGTTATCTAATGCAAAGATATATATTACTGGTTGGAGTGACTGTATAGTGTTTGAATTCATTTTATTCTTTGTGTCTGTTGAGCCTTTGTTTGCGTGAAATGAACATAAAACCTTTTAATGATCTCAGAGTGAACATTAAGGTGCTATAAATAATAGTATAAATGAAATTCCAACATTGCTCAATTGTTCAGAGCTTCAGAAGCAAAGCTGATGCCTCATGAAATGTACATTCAGTTTGCTTTGAACATTGCTGAATGCAAATTGAATGCTTCTGCATAATTATTTAATCATGCCAGGCACTTTTGTGCCTAACATCATTCACACACTGAATGCAAATCAAATCGTTTAAACGGAAAACATCTTAAATAGCCTGAACAAAAAAAATCCATACTTATGGTGTACTTCCAGTACATAGAAATAGCAAACAAACACAGAAGGTTAGTATATTCTGCATGTGTTTGTGTGAGTGCTGTGAGCGGGTCGTGGGTGGAGTGCTGCCTCATATTGATCTTCTTAATTATATTTATGACGTTGTCTCAGTCAAGGCCATAAATTTGATTTATTACACCGCAGAAGTGTAACCCAGCACTACACAATGGACATGAAACAGACTGGGTGTTTCTTAAACCTCAGAAGTGATTCAAACCTAGCAAAAAAAGAAAGAATGCTGCACTCAAGCAATGATTTGAGCTGGAAGTGAACATTTGCTTTTGCCTAAATGTTTTCTTTAAAAGGAATATTTCACCCAAAACTGAAAATGTGCTGAAAATATACTCACCCTCTGGCCATCAAAGATGTAGATGAGTTTGTTTCTTCATCAGATTTGGAGAAATGTAGCATTGCATCACTTGTTCACCAATGGATCCTCTGCAGTGAATGGGTGCCGTCAGAATGAGAGCCAAACAGCTGATAAAAACATCACAATAATCTACAAGTAATCCACACCTCTCCAGTCCATCAGTTAATGTCTTTTGAAGTTAAAAGATGTGTGTTTGTATGAAATACATCCATTTTAACTTCAAACTATTCCTAAAATTAAAAAGTCCTTTATCCAAAATATTGTTTCCCCCAGTGAAAAAAATTATCATCTAAATCAGGAAAGAAATATCCACAGATCAAACACCATTTACAAGCCAAAACAGATCTAAACCATTCTTAATAAATATGTCGGTGGATTTTGATGTGAGACACAACATGGGATGGACATTTTCACTGGAGAAAGTGTTATTATGGATTATGGTCTCATGTTTTGGCCAGAGACCAAAAGAATCGAAATTAAAATGCCTCAATGGTGGATTCGTTTCTTACAAACATGCAGCTTTTGACTTCTCAATGCATTAACTGATGGACTGGAGTGATGTGGATTATTGTGATGTTTTTATCAGCTGTTTGGACTCTCATTCTGACGGCACCCATTCACTGCAGAGCATCCATTGCTGAGCAAGAGATGTAATGCTACATTTTTCCAAATCTGTTCAGATGGAGAAACAAACTCGTCTACATCTTGGGTGACCTGAGCGTGAGTTAAGTTTTAACAAATGTAATTTTTGGGTGAACTATTCCTTTAACAAACAAAGCGAATGACTGCATTAAGGATAAAACAGCTTTATGTAAATTTGGATGCAGCAGGGCTTCAGTGTATGACAGTCAGCGGAAGTGATATAAAAGTGTTTATTACGTTTGAAATATGCATATTTTTCTTACAAAAACACATGGATTCGCTACAGGAGGCATTTATTCACCCCCCAGGAGCCGCGTGAGGCATGTTTTATTATGAATGCGTGAGCTTTATTTGACGACTTGTGGACTGTTCAACACCCGCTGACTGCAATGATAGAGCTTGGAAGAGCCAGGACAATTTTAAATATAACTCCGACTGGATTCGTCTGAAAGAAGAAAGTCATATACACCCAGGATGCCTCGGGGGTGAGTAAAACACAGCCTAATTTTCATTTTTGGGTGAACTAACCCTTTAATATTTGGAAAACTTTTCTCTACAAAATCTAAGTTTGGCATGACCAACAAAATTGTGTTATTGTAGTATTGTTTATTTATTTTTATTATAGTATTTATTAATATTTCCTATTTATTTAGCTCTTTTTAAATAATTTTAGGTTTTCTTGTTTTACTTTACAGTTTAGTAATTTTTGTTTTGTCCTTTCGTTTTAATATTTCTATTTAGCGTTACTTTATTTTTATTTTAGTTTTAGTAATTTTAGTACCTAATTTGTTGTATTTATTTGCCAAGGCAACATTTATAAATTATTTATATTTTATTATATTTCAGCTTTATTTCAATGAATTTAAAAAATATATTTTTAATAGTTTTAGTTAACAATAACAATACTGCAACAAAGTCACATGGTATTTGAAAATAATGTTTAAGACACTCACAAGTACTTAAAAGAAGGTTTTACTTTTTACTTGATTACACCAGGCATTAAATATCTCTACTCTATATAGATATCTATAGAGAGAGAGAGCATGAGTATAAATATCTCTAACTCTACTCTGAAAAAAAACCCTTATAAAACCAACATGAATACACAAGAGTACATTTCTAAGAACATAAAAATGTTCTGAACAAAAGGATTATTTTCTTCTTTATCTTGGACACTCTTATTTGTCATACTCTTACCTATTGTTTTTTTTATTAGAATCAATAACAATACTGCAACAAAGTCACATGGTATTTGAAAATAATGTTTAAGACACTCACAAGTACTTAAAAGAAGGTTTTACTTTTTACTTGATTACACCAGGCATTAAATATCTCTACTCTATATAGATATATATAGAGAGAGAGAGCGTGAGTATAAATATCTCTAACTCTACTCGGGAAAAAAACCCTTATAAAACCAACATGAATACACAAGAGTACATTTCTAAGAACATAAAAATGTTACCTATTCTAATCTTACCTATTGTTTTTTTTTATTAGAATCTTTTTTTTTTATGGTTTGCTTGAAAGGCATGCTTGTGCATTGTCTTTTGAGATAATGAGGCTTGGATTGATATTTTGTTATCTAATGCAAAGATATATATTACTGGTTGGAGTGACTGTATAGTGTTTGAATTCATTTTATTCTTTGTGTCTGTTGAGCCTTTGTTTGCGTGAAATGAACATAAAACCTTTTAATGATCTCAGAGTGAACATTAAGGTGCTATAAATAATAGTATAAATGAAATTCCAACATTGCTCAATTGTTCAGAGCTTCAGAAGCAAAGCTGATGCCTCATGAAATGTACATTCAGTTTGCTTTGAACATTGCTGAATGCAAATTGAATGCTTCTGCATACTTATTTAATCATGCCAGGCACTTTTGTGCCTAACATCATTCACACACTGAATGCAAATCAAATCGTTTAAACGGAAAACATCTTAAATAGCCTGAACAAAAAAAATCCATACTTATGGTGTACTTCCAGTACATAGAAATAGCAAACAAACACAGAAGGTTAGTATATTCTGCATGCTAAAAATGTTACCTATTCTAATCTTACCTATTGTTTTTTTTTATTAGAATCTTTTTTTTTATGGTTTGCTTGAAAGGCATGCTTGTGCATTGTCTTTTGAGATAATGAGGCTTGGATTGATATTTTGTTATCTAATGCAAAGATATATATTACTGGTTGGAGTGACTGTATAGTGTTTGAATTCATTTTATTCTTTGTGTCTGTTGAGCCTTTGTTTGCGTGAAATGAACATAAAACCTTTTAATGATCTCAGAGTGAACATTAAGGTGCTATAAATAATAGTATAAATGAAATTCCAACATTGCTCAATTGTTCAGAGCTTCAGAAGCAAAGCTGATGCCTCATGAAATGTACATTCAGTTTGCTTTGAACATTGCTGAATGCAAATTGAATGCTTCTGCATAATTATTTAATCATGCCAGGCACTTTTGTGCCTAACATCATTCACACACTGAATGCAAATCAAATCGTTTAAACGGAAAACATCTTAAATAGCCTGAACAAAAAAATCCATACTTATGGTGTACTTCCAATACATAGAAATAGCAAACAAACACAGAAGGTTAGTATATTCTGCATGTGTTTGTGTGAGTGCTGTGAGCGGGTCGTGGGTGGAGTGCTGCCTCATATTGATCTTCTTAATTATATTTATGACGTTGTCTCAGTCAAGGCCATAAATTTGATTTATTACACCGCAGAAGTGTAACCCAGCACTACACAATGGACATGAAACAGACTGGGTGTTTCTTAAACCTCAGAAGTGATTCAAACCTAGCAAAAAAAGAAAGAATGCTACACTCAAGCAATGATTTGAGCTGGAAGTGAACATTTGCTTTTGCCTAAATGTTTTCTTTAAAAGGAATATTTCACCCAAAACTGAAAATGTGCTGAAAATATACTCACCCTCTGGCCATCAAAGATGTAGATGAGTTTGTTTCTTCATCAGATTTGGAGAAATGTAGCATTGCATCACTTGTTCACCAATGGATCCTCTGCAGTGAATGGGTGCCGTCAGAATGAGAGCCAAACAGCTGATAAAAACATCACAATAATCTACAAGTAATCCACACCTCTCCAGTCCATCAGTTAATGTCTTTTGAAGTTAAAAGATGTGTGTTTGTATGAAATACATCCATTTTAACTTCAAACTATTCCTAAAATTAAAAAGTCCTTTATCCAAAATATTGTTTCCCCCAGTGAAAAAAATTATCATCTAAATCAGGAAAGAAATATCCACAGATCAAACACCATTTACAAGCCAAAACAGATCTAAACCATTCTTAATAAATATGTCGGTGGATTTTGATGTGAGACACAACATGGGATGGACATTTTCACTGGAGAAAGTGTTATTATGGATTATGGTCTCATGTTTTGGCCAGAGACCAAAAGAATCGAAATTAAAATGCCTCAATGGTGGATTCGTTTCTTACAAACATGCAGCTTTTGACTTCTCAATGCATTAACTGATGGACTGGAGTGATGTGGATTATTGTGATGTTTTTATCAGCTGTTTGGACTCTCATTCTGACGGCACCCATTCACTGCAGAGCATCCATTGCTGAGCAAGAGATGTAATGCTACATTTTTCCAAATCTGTTCAGATGGAGAAACAAACTCGTCTACATCTTGGGTGACCTGAGCGTGAGTTAAGTTTTAACAAATGTAATTTTTGGGTGAACTATTCCTTTAACAAACAAAGCGAATGACTGCATTAAGGATAAAACAGCTTTATGTAAATTTGGATGCAGCAGGTTAGTGCTGTTTATGGATTTAGCTTCTTATTCAGTGTAGTTAAATAAAAAGAGTAAATGCATCACAATTCTTAAACATTTTATCACAATTTTATTGCAAGCATCTATTTAAACATTTAAAATGGAACATTTGCATCTGGACTAGAAGGATCTGGAAGGATATCCAGACTGACACAGACACATTAGAAACTGATTTAGGCCATTTTTTCTGTAATGTCATCCATTCATAGTACTCTATTTAAAAAATAAATAAATAAAATCTGGAAAAAAATGAATTATTTCAGATTTTTTTTGTTGAAAATGTTTGATTTCATAATAACAACGTAATGCAAAAGTTTTCCTAATTTTAATCGAGCTGATTGAGCATTATTATTCTGGGGCCTCCAGCTGAGATGCCTTACCTTAAAACAGGTGAAACAAAGTGCAGATGTGACTTTCTCATATTTGCAATGCAATTTCTTTTTTTTCATTGCATTAACTCTGCTAACAGTTGCGACAAGAGAGGGCCAGGTAAAAAATAAATAAAATAAAATATAGTTTACATTGTGGTTTACATTTTTTCCCCCCCATTAATTCTAGATTTGTGCTTCATTTTGATGACTTTTTTATGTTAAAATTCTATTTCCTGGGAAGTGAGTGTCTCTCTCATAGATTCCCTATGACACAGTTATTTAGTCTTGGTAGGCTAGTTAATGAGACGGCGTCCTCTCCCGTTCTGCAATAAGGCATTAAGCAGTTTTCTCAAGAGACTCTGGGGATATTTGACATTTCAGTCAAGATGGAAATGGATGAGGCTGTTATTGCTTTAACTCCAAATAAACCGAACGAAAATAACAGGTGAGTTTTCTTGACACTTTCTCTCTTTATTGAGAGGAAAATGGATGTCAGTAGATTTAAATGTTGAGTTAAAGTGTCGTATGATTTTGTGTTTTATCATAAGCATGCATTAAAATGCTTAAAAGATTATATTGATATCTCTTTACTGTGGACAAACTATAATTTTATTCTGTTTACAGGTTCACACGAGAAGATGGATTACGCTGTGATTTTGAAAGCCCTCCATGGTTAGTTTTTTTTTGTGCAAGAACTTGTTAAGCTCTAAAAATATTGCAGTTTTATATTAGTAAATCTCACAAAACCTGTCAATAACCCATCCTGCTTATATTTACCTCAAATTTAAGAAACACTACGTTTTGTTTTTTGCATTGACATTTTTATGCATATTTTTTGTAACACTTTTATTAAGGTGTTACAAAAACATATTCTTGTTACTGCAATTAAATTAAATTATATATATATATATATATATATATATATATATATATATATATATATATATATATATATATTAAAAAAATAGCTATATTTTTGTACTGGTTTTATTTTTTGCTGATTTAAAAAAATATATAATTCTATTACCAAACAAAAAGTGTTATAGTAATCAGAAAAAGGTGTTAGAAAATGTGCTTATTTTTCATGAAATTAATGTCAGATTGCAAACAATCTTAACAGTCACTAACGTTCTTGCCCGCAATTAAATGGACAGGTTTTGTGATATTCACCTTAACACTGCAGCTGTGCTGTGGTGCGCTAGTCGAATTTTTCCTCTGTATTTATTTTTTATAATGGATGAATTTGCATGAGGCAAATGAATTTGGAGGAAACTTTGCATCATGGCAAATAAAATAAAATTTCTCTGCTGAAAATGGCTTTATTGTCTGTGGACTCGCCAGTTGTATGAACTGAAAGTTCATTTACTGTGATGTTGTGTGGGAGAAGCATTTGGTTTGAAGTATGTTGTGCATTTGGTTTCTGCCAGCTGATTGTTCTGGACGGAAGAGTTCATCCTCTATTAAAGCTCCTAAAACGCTCATTTGATGTATCTTACAGAGCATCTGATTCCAGCTGCACACAGTTTAGAAGAGCAGTTCTGCCCGTCAGATGTCAGTCCAAGCAGTGAGAGGTATTTTGAAGAGAGAAAACACCTGGAAGAGTTTATAACAAGCATAGGTGAGCTAGCAGTCCGATACAAATCTCGAAGAATCTCAACTATGTCAGTTTGTCGCAATTGCGATCGATGCATTGTTAGTTATATCAGCAGGGGAACTCTTTTTAATGTATGTCTCATGATTTATGCAGATACGATAACCCTACAAAACCTGCAGACGGTCATTGATCGAATCCTGGTCTTTCACGAGCGGACGCAGATGCCTCTGTCTAGTCCGGCTCGACTGGGAGAGCAGGAGCTGTTTCCGGGGAGCGGGCTCTACCTGCCGCACTACAAACTGGCGTCCGTGCTGCAGGAGTCCCGGCAGGACAGCATGAGACTCTTCCACCTGCTGTTCGAGCACTTCTTCAGCGAGGAGGATCTTAACGGGGCCGTCGCTTTTGGGAAGAGGGGAAAAGTCCCTGACGGGAAAAAGATCTTGGACAGAAGAAGAGTGGATGGGATTATGTGTAAGTATTTGAAATGGGACAGCCAGCTTTTACTGATCATCTCAGAACGATTTGGGGCTGTGCGTTTTTTCCCATTCTACTGTTTTTCCCATATTTGCTTTTTTTGTGCAATGGTACATTTAGTTCTATTCATCAAAGAACCCTATTATACTTTGCACAAAAAGGTTCATATCAGTGACAATACTACAAATATTAATATCAGTTTCATTATGAGAAATGAGCAGCAAATCAGCATATCGGAATGATTTCTGAAGGATCATGTGACACTGAAGACTGGAGTAATGATGCTGAAAACTCAGCTTTGAATCATAGAAATAAAATAAACGTTAAAATGTATTCAAATAGAAAACTGTTATTTTAAATTGTAATAATATTTCACAATATTACTGATTTAACTGTATTTTTGCTTAAATAAATGCAGAGGCATGACGAAGCGGATATCGTCCTCTTTTGGAAGACTAAACAAAGTAGTTTCGCTTTCACAACGAAACATAAGGCGGCCTAGCGTGAGCGGAAGCCGCAGCCTAGCGTGAACTGAGGCCGGGCTAAAGTGAGCAGAGGCGGCGGGCTTGAGAACGGTGCGGCCAGCGGATTCGATTTGGGCGGCGTTATGCAAATCTTCCCACATAGTGATGTAGACATGTGGGGGCGTGTTAGAACGAGCCGTTTTAGGTAGGCGTGGTTGACTCTTAACTTTTATAATGAATATCTCTTTGGATTTGAGACTTTAGTCTTTGCAACTTTACAGATCTTCTTTATGCACCAAGAGCTTGTAACACTCCAAAGAGAAAGGAAAAATTGAAATCGCATCATATGACCCCTTTAAAGTTGATTCGGTTTAGCTACAGCACTAAAAGATGAACGATTCACGGTCAGACACATGAACTTTTTCCATTCCATTCATTTCAACCAAACCCACATTATCTATACTGTGATCATATTGACTCGTTTAGTCAACACAAACCTGTTTATATCCATTTAAACCTTTAGATTAGTCTAATCATGTTAGTCATGTAGCAGTGTAACAATCAAGACAAGATATTTTAAGTTTTGTCAAACCATTTTGATGGTTTTTACTCATATCCAATATCTTTAAATATAAAAATGTGAATTATCACTATATCAAAACCACCTTAGACTGTATTTTATTGTTTTATCTTACTCCATCACAAACTACAGTGTATGTTTGTACTTTTTGACACGACACCTCTTCCTCTCTGAATACCAGATTTGTGTCATGTAATAAGATTGCCAAGGTGCAGACTGTGAAAAATAAGTGCGTAATGATGTTACACTACATAGTATGAACCAGTGGGTTCAATGACTGTTACTGTGAGTAATAAACAGAATATCGCAATATTGAGATGCTTCTGTATTTTATTGGAAACATTATTTTGCCATTATTTTAACAATTAATAACTCAGTCGGCAATACAACCAATACGGAATCGGAGATTAGAAATCTTTACCTAAAGACTGGACAGTACCTCAACGGAATCTGTTTGCTGGAACAATGGCGCTTTTGGCCACTGTACAGGCTTCCATAGCTCCACACTCAAATGGGGTGACGTGCGCTTGCTCACCACAGAAACAGGACTAGAGTGTCTGGAGTGGACCTACCAGGATTTTACTGACCCTAATGCCAGAAACCGAAGGTCCACGACTGAGTACCGCATCTACGCTACCCCGCATGCTCCTCAAACCTGCCCTGTGCAGGACTACAAGGAATATGCTCAGCGCAGACCTCAAGCAATGCTTTTTGAAGATGCGCCCTTTTATCTGTCCATCAAGCCAGTGGTCAACCTCGCTGCCCTGCACTGGTACAACTGCCAAGCTCTGGGAAAGAACAAATTAGCAAAGATGGTGAAGACCATGTGTGAGAAAGGCAACATTCCAGGGAGAAAGACCAATTTCAGTGTTTACCAGAGTTGCAGCTCCTTGTCCGAGGCCCAGAGCAATCAGCTAGTCCTGATCTGCAATGACCTCAGGCAACAAGCTGTCCAGTCAGGGAGTTCCCATCCTGGCAGCACCAACTTTGTCATTGCTGGTTCTTTTGACTCTACTGACTCTGCTTAAAGCTGAAGTATAATTTTTGAGCCACTAGTAGCACCAGACCAATCTGCTGTTTCCAAGCAAGTTTCCCCAAACACTTCTTCTGTCTTCCATTTTTTGGTCAAGCAGGTAGTCCTGACCCAAATGCATGGCATTCGTTGAACAAGAAGTTGATGTTTTGGACAGCTTAACCAATGAGCCAAGGTTCGGGGTGATTAGGAAGGTTCAGTTAGCCACTGTTTACAGATACCTACACCAGGAGTTACCAAATTTCTGACATGAAGTGCCATTTTAATTTTTTTCCATTTAAAATGAGCTGTTTTCTGTTATCCTAATATTTGCCAAGTGACTATTTGGAGGGCTCTTCAAGCCTCAAATGAACATATATTTCCCCCCAGTCTGCTGCCTTTTGTGTCACTCAGGATAGTCGCTTGTGAAGGGCTTGGGTCTATGATTGTTCTTGTGGTGCCATCAGCCAATCAGTGTTGTCAGCATGTCTCAATATAATTTTGCAGTGGCTTCGGAGTTATTAGTCACAAGGCATACACAGCTCAAGTGATTGGATCAGAAAAAAAGTCTGTGTCGATGTTCAAAGATAGTGGATACTTCCAGAGGTCTTGCGCCAGCTGAGCAACTGCCATTTGGACAAATGGGAATGCTAATGGATATCTCTTTCTATGTATGGCTTGAATAAACCAAGGAAAGGGCCACAGAGTCACTGTTTACACACTCCTAAGAAAGTCAGTCTACAAATGGCTGCATGATACGGGAGGAAGTAGTTTATCATTATAAAACATACAGCAGCTTTAAATTCAATTGTATGACTGACTTAGGACATCTTGTTTCATGTCTCAATGCTCTTGTAGGTAAGCATTAGTAAAGTCTTAGGCCCCGTCCGCACGGAGACGCGTTTAGCTGTATACGCATACATTTTGTATCGTATAGGCGTTTCGTCCACACGGATCCGGCGTTTGGGAGAGTGAAACCGATATTTTTTGAAACCGGGTCCCAGAGTGGATAAATCTGAAAACGCTGCCCTTGTGTTGTCGTGTGGACAGCGAATCCGTATATTCTCTGAAAAGATGACGTCATCAGCCCACGTCTCGCTCCTAGTCAGACACCGCTACGTCACGTAACAGCAACAAAAACATGAACAAACACTGATTGTCTTTTTATTAACTAACATTAACACAGATTAATAAATGCATTGTTCCATGTTTGTTTGTATACCGCTTGCAAGGTTTATGCGCATAGTCCAAGTCTTCTTCTCCGTTTTTAGTATATCTCTGTGGCAGAATTACAGCGCCACATACTGGTCTGGCATGAATACTACATTTTGTGTCGGTTTCGTGTGGATACAGATATTTCTTGAGACGAGGGGGAAAAAAAGATTGGATAAGGAAAGCTCTGGCTTCGTGTGGATGTAGCCTTAATTGTTGTTTATGTCAATGTGTATAAAACTCTGTTGTTGTCTTTGTCTTGATTATATTGTAACCACACTTGTCTTATGTGCAATGCAAAATGTTCTTTATCCAGTGCATTATTAAGTCAGCTTAAGGCATTTGGATGCTAATTTTGTGTTATGGTATTTTTACTATGTATGGCAACAATTACGAGTTTGACAATGAAGCTAAAATGTCGATCCAGTTACTCCATATATGTTGTAGACATATGAATGTAGTGGAACTAATCCTACTATCCTTCGTATATATTCCTATTTTGGAAATGTTCTGTGTTAGTGTAGATGTTCTCTTCAGTAGTGAGCACTTATCAGATATGGTTCATGGTTAGATACTGTATGTGTTAGATATGTTACAGATATGTGCCTGTTCAACATATGTGCCTGATATTATATAATTTATTCTAGGAACATACACAACAAGGCTTATTTAAGGTTACAAAAACAAACAAAATGGTTAAAAAATAAAGTTGAGAAACAAATATACAACCATAAATAAAGCAACCCTGTAATATGAATAAAGTCCGATTTTTTTCTTTCGGGTTTTTCGCTCACATGGCTCAGTTTTAGAACTAAGAAATTATTTGTTGACCACATAATTCTACTAACATAACATTTTTTAACTACTTTACAGCTCCACTGATTATTATATCACAATTAGTTGCAAATATAAACTGTTTTACAAGTTATTTTGCTGAATTATAGACTCTTGCCTTTGGAATGGTGAAAAAGATTTTGTCTTTTGTAAACTGTTGTGGTCATTAGATGGTACTGGACTTGGCCCTTCTTGCCCAATAAAATTATGAAAATAATGGCAGAATTATATTAATATATCAGTCACATATATCTATGGAAGCCCGTTTCCGCCACTGAATAAAAAATAAGAGGTAATTGCGATAAAACTCGCAATTGCGAGGCAAAGTCGCAATTCTGAGAAATAAAGTCAGAACTGCGAGATATAAACTCGCAATTCTGAGAACATATCAGCACCCCCTCCCCCCTCAAAATTGGACTTTAACTCGCAATTGCGAGTTTATATCTCACAATTCTGAGAAAAAAGTCCGAATTGCGAGAAAAAAAAGTCCGAATTGCGACTTGCGAGAAAAAAAAAGTCCGAATTGCGACTTGCGAGAAAAAAAAAGTCCGAATTGCGACTTGCGAGAAAAAAAAGTCAGAATTGCGACTTGCAAGAAAAAGAAAAAAAGTCCGAATTGCGACTTGCAAGAAAAAAAAAGTCCGAATTGCGACTTGCAAGAAAAAGAAAAAAAGTCCGAATTGCGACTTGCAAGAAAAAAAAAGTCCGAATTGCGACTTGCAAGAAAAAAAAAAGTCAGAATTGCGACTTGCGAGAAAAAAAAGTCAGAATTGCGACTTGCGAGAAAAAAAAAAGTCAGAATTGCGACTTGCAAGAAAAAAAAAAAAAGTCAGAATTGCGACTTGCAAGAAAAAAAAAAAGTCAGAATTGCGACTTGCGAGAAAAAAAAAGAAGTCAGAATTGCGACTTGCGAGAAAAAAAAAGCCAGAAAGCCTTTTTTTCTCGCAATTGTGAGTTTAGATTTGTGAGATAAAGTCGCAATTACCTTTTTTTAATTTTTTATTCAGTGGCGGAAACGGGCTTCCATATATATCAAAAAATGACAACACAATAATGGTCAAGTTTTTTTCCATTTGATATAAAAATCATGAAAAATTACTTCCTAGCATATAACAACCTAAAAATCAGAAACCTTTACATTAATGAAAAACCAAAGTCATCTAGCATAACCACATTACAGCTTTGAGTAGCAAGTTTTTACAAAACAGCAAGTCAGTCTATGTAGCTGATTGTTTATTTACTCCGGGTCCAGTCTTGGTAACACAGGCAGTATAAGGTTACCGAAGGAAGAATCCTGAGTGATGAAGAAGCCGGATGAATGTGCATGTGCATGCTGAAACCAAACCAGAGAACAATACTCATCTGATGGGCCTTATCAAGAATAGATGAACACTGAAGCTTACGGTACCTGTAACGCTGCTTTCTGCTGTGCTGCAATGTGCTGCTGTTCGGCCTGATCCCTGAACTCTTTATTTACTGCTGCTCGAGAGAGGGGAATGCTGGGAAAGAAAAAAGAAAAACATGTTATACTGCATAGGTTATGACTTTTTATGAGTATGCACTGCTGGGACAGATACTGACTTAACAGCATGTTTTTTTAGAGAGAGAGAGAGAGAGAGAGCACTGAAAAATGAAATATGTGAATCGTGGCATGTTGTTAAAACAGTACCTGGCTCCTGGGTTATTCATAGACTGACTTTGTATCAGACGTCTCTTCTCCTTATCCAGCTCAGCTAGAATAGCAGCCCTGTTTTTGTTCTGAAATCCTATTGAGATCAAATTTACACAAATAATAGTTAATAATAAAGCAACTAGTGAAATTGAAAACTCGCAGATCTAATAGAAACTGCACGAGAGTGACACAACGACTGATTAAAGCTTCATTCCTTAATGTTTGATGGGCGACCGCACTGTATATTTTGTTATATCTCGGGATTTACTTTGAAAACGATTTAAACACTATATATCGCATTGCATGAGCTTAATATCAGAAATGACAGTCCAGCTGTTTTTGGCATCTGATATGCTGCAGTAACGTTATTTACCTTGTCCCGGTGGATTCGCGGCCATTTTACTGCATTTTACTTTTAAAAATGAAACAGCAGTTACTACTTCTAAAATCTTCGCCAAACAAATCAATGTAATCTAAAACGGACGCATGGTGATAAATGAAGCAGCTCTCTTGTGTTCTTCGGTAAGCGCTTGTCGCGTGGCAGCTGTTTTCTTGCTTACAGCGCCACCTGGAGAACTGGAGCGACTGAACAAATACAGCTATATTTTAAAGGGGTCATATGATGCTGCTAAAAAGAACATTATTTTGTGTATTTGGCATAATGAAATGTGTTTATGCGGTTTAAAGTTCAAAAAACACATACTGTACATTATTGTTTCTCCTCTATGCCCCGCCTTTCTTTTTTTACAAAGCTCATCGGTCTGAAAAGCGAGGTGTGCTGTGATTGGCCAGCTATCCAGTGCGTTGTGATTGGCCGAATACCTCAAGCGTGTGACGGAAATGTTACACCCCTCACCATACTGTTGATGCCCTGTGACGGCCGGAGCGACGAGACATAAACATTAAAACCCATTATAAACGAGGCATTTGTTGCATCCAGTGGGGACATAATTACGAATTATAATGACTTATACTGTCTTTTTACGTGTTGTGTTGCATTGCATTGCGCCGCGTAAACATAAAACTCTGTCTGCATTTGTGATCGGAGAAATAACAAACAACAAGTGCTACTCTACACTGCTCAAAACTCGTGTTTGAAGCATCAGTGGCAACGAAAAACACAGCGGCCTAGCGTGAGGGGAAGCTCCGGCTTAGCGTGCGCTGAGGCCGGGATAGAGTGAGCTGAGGCGGGCTGGACTCCGCTTCGTCCACGGTGAAAGTTGATGTATTTCCTCAGCGACCAGCACAGATCAGCTCTAGGCATGACGAAGCGGATATCGTCCTCTTTTGGAAGACCAAACAAAGTAGTTTAGCTTTCACAACGAAGCACACAGCGTCTTCGCGACATGGCTGCAGCAACAATACTACAGCGAGAATAAAAGTTATGCCTTCTTTCTTTGCGTGAACATTTGGGCGGCGCTATGCTAATCTTCCCACATAGTGAGGTAGACATGTGGGGGCGTGTTAGAACGAGCCGTTTTAGGTAGGCGTGGCTGACTCTGAACTTTGATAAAGAATATATCTTTGGATTTGAGACTTTAGTCTTTGCAACTTTACAGATCTTCTTTATGCACCAAGAGCTTGTAACACTCCAAAGAGAAAGGAAAACTTGAAATCGCATCATATGACCCCTTTAAAGGCTTGAAAACTTGATATTTTCTAGAAGAACAGGTTGTAGCAGCTTTTATATTATTGGTTAGAGACACGCAAGTCTATGCAAAATCACTTAAAAGATCATTTCAATATCTTTTCAAACGCTTACCTGACATACAAATCAGAAAATCACACCGGACATGAAAATCAAACAGTGCTTCAATAAAACGATGAAATAAGTGCTTATAATGAAGTGTATAAAGCGGAGAGTTCCGGTCCTTGATTCTGATTGGCTGAGCCGCGTTTGAAGCTGTTGTAAATTACTCTACAAACACACACCTTTGTTTACGTCTGTGTGTTGCTCGGCAATCACTTTGTTGCGACCGCAACCGTTTCTGAGGAGCTACATTGTTTGGTGGAAGAATACTGTTTTTATTATCATTACACTTTATTTGCCCGGTTTTATTTTGTGAAACCTTACTACGGAATGGAATAACCGTTTTATAAAAGCAATAAGCCCCGTGAAGCCGTGGTTTACAGTGAATTTATAACAGCTAAGGGGGTCGCTTCGCATCGTGCCTACCAACGTACCTTAGCCGTTATAAATTCACTGTAAACCACGGCTTCACGGGGCTTATTGCTTTATTCTTCCTCGCTCTAATGAGTAGGACCAGTCAAACTTTCCAATGTAGTTCAGAGGGATTTTAATTCATTCTGACTGATATGTTTTAATCACATGGATAGACATGGTATGTGCTAAACAGAAAATAGAGGACAATCTAAAAAACACGCAATGAACAAAGTCAACAAATCTCAAACACTAAAGTCTGCCTAATACAACTCACCATATGAAAACACGGAAACATTTATACATTAATTAAGAGTGCCATTTGTGAAAAAACATAGCAATTTTCAGAAAGGTACAAAGGAGCACTAATGTTCATTTACATTTATACAAGATAACATCGACTGGACATATACGTACAAAGACATTGAACTCATTGCTCATTATCTTCTTTTTCGACAAATGTACAACCTGAACATCATTTGCATCTGTCAGAAATTGAATGGAGGAAAGGGTCTGGAATACAAACAGCGTTTATCGCCATAAAATATGGAAAAGATGATCTATAAACAACCAAAGCTGGGAAGATATTAAAGTTTTGGATGGCACAGGCGAGGAACCCTGCATTCTCATGTCTTCTCTGCAACAAGTAACAACACAAAATACTGCAGGCTATGCATTATTTGGATGAAGCGTTTATGAAAGTATTAAAAACCAATGAAGCTATATCCAAAACGCCTGATGAAAAAGAATAACGCATTAATGTGAACCAGGAGTCGTCTAGCAGAATGCTTGCAGTCATGCAGCGAAATGATCTTTACTATTAGTTATGAGGATATTTACATTAAAAAGCCCTGAGTATAGAGGTGGTTATTAAGGCATAACAAGGCGCATAAGCTTTTTAATCTTTAACCAGCTGTTTAATAGTGGAATATGAATGTGCTGTGAAATGTAGGGCAGATCAGAAACCTTCGGCTAGAAAATGTCAAAGAATCGCATGCCTTCATGACAGTGTGATGGTCTGTTTATTGATGAATAAAAGCTACATTCAAACAAGCATATTTGTGAGTCTGGGAAAGATAAGATTAAGTAACATATGAAACCGTAAAACAAATGTAAAATGCATGATTTACAGTTTTCACAAAAACAGTTGATACGTTTCACATTTCAGCCTTTAAACCATTTAAGAAAATGGATGAGTCAAAAGTATAAAATATTATATTAATTTAAACAGTCATTATAAATAATTATATTAATTAAATAACAAACACATTTTACAGTTTAGATTATAATGAATTATCTTCTTATCGATCCACCAGTTCACATTTACAGATCTGCGTATTTTGCAGGGTAAAACATGGGTCGATTTTCGCATTGGTCTGAAGAAAAACAACCCAATACTATGTTCCTGCATGACCGGAGGCTGCAGTTCCAGGACCCTATTTTTTGTGACAGCGCCATCTAGCCAATTCTATTCCAACAGAGGAGACCTGATTCAAACATCAAATAAACAGATGCAAAAACCAGATCCATGGAAACTATTCTTTTTTTAATTTAACTTTTAATTTTATTTTTAATGTAAGAGCTGGCGTGAACTTGATCGTGTGAGGCGATGTCAGCAATCTCCATTAGCCTATTTAGCTGTGCAAAACAGTTAATTGTGCTGCTGGATGTTATAAATTAGCATTTGTATTCAAATTATTTAAAATGTATTAACGTACTAATTAGGGATGCACCGATATCATTAGGGATGCAACATTATACATACTCTTTTGGTACCCAATATTTAAAAAAATGTACAAATGCAATAAAAATATTGGTATTGGTACTCGGTATCGGCAAGTACCAAAAATAAAAGTATTGGTATCGGGCAAGTACTGGAAAAAGTGGTATCGTTGCATCCCAAGTAGTAATAAATAGAGCCCGACCGATATATAGTTTTGCCGATATTATCGGCCGATATGAGCCTGCCGCCGATATATCGGTATCGGCGAATATGCCGCCGATATGACTTTTTTTACAGAACAATGCAGATAAAATGCTTGAAACGGTGTAATTACTTAGTTCCACTCTTTGCTACTGGCGACCTGGATGAAACGCTTAAGTCTATGGAAAACCCACTGAAACTTTGAACGGCCATATCTCCGTAACGGCACGGCGAATCCGCAGCAAATTCGGGGGATCTCTTCAGCTCAAGGAACCCTCTTGAACGCGAATCGAGTGTACGTCTCGAGGCTCTCTTTCGAATGAGACCACACCCGTGTGGATAGCCCCGGGGTTAGGGAGTTACGGGTGGTTAAATTCGTGGTCTGGTGCCAACCGATCTAGCGATCCCGGGGGGCTACCGACGAGCGGAGGGTGGCGTTCGAGAGGGCTCCTCGAGCTGAAGGGATCCCCCGAATTTGGTGGAGATCCGCCGGCGCGTTCGCGAGATAGTGACACGAGTCAACACTTTCACTTCAGTAAGGAGGTTTCTTGTTCAGGCAGCATTCACGCGTTGTCTTATTCGACCGTAAGTGCCCTGCGAAGTGGACTTACCATTACATGATTCCAGTTCCAAGGGAACGTACATTATCTTCTTATCGATCCACCAGTTCACATTTACAGATCTGCGTATTTTGCAGGGTAAAACATGGGTCGATTTTCGCATTGGTCTGAAGAAAAACAACCCAATACTATGTTCCTGCATGACCGGAGGCTGCAGTTCCAGGACCCTATTTTTTGTGACAGCGCCATCTAGCCAATTCTATTCCAACAGAGGAGACCTGATTCAAACATCAAATAAACAGATGCAAAAACCAGATCCATGGAAACTATTCTTTTTTTAATTTAACTTTTAATTTTATTTTTAATGTAAGAGCTGGCGTGAACTTGATCGTGTGAGGCGATGTCAGCAATCTCCATTAGCCTATTTAGCTGTGCAAAACAGTTAATTGTGCTGCTGGATGTTATAAATTAGCATTTGTATTCAAATTATTTAAAATGTATTAACGTACTAATTAGGGATGCACCGATATCATTAGGGATGCAACATTATACATACTCTTTTGGTACCCAATATTTAAAAAAATGTACAAATGCAATAAAAATATTGGTATTGGTACTCGGTATCGGCAAGTACCAAAAATAAAAGTATTGGTATCGGGCAAGTACTGGAAAAAGTGGTATCGTTGCATCCCAAGTAGTAATAAATAGAGCCCGACCGATATATAGTTTTGCCGATATTATCGGCCGATATGAGCCTGCCGCCGATATATCGGTATCGGCGAATATGCCGCCGATATGACTTTTTTTACAGAACAATGCAGATAAAATGCTTGAAACGGTGTAATTACTTAGTTCCACTCTTTGCTACTGGCGACCTGGATGAAACGCTTAAGTCTATGGAAAACCCACTGAAACTTTGAACGGCCATATCTCCGTAACGGCACGGCGAATCCGCAGCAAATTCGGGGGATCTCTTCAGCTCAAGGAACCCTCTTGAACGCGAATCGAGTGTACGTCTCGAGGCTCTCTTTCGAATGAGACCACACCCGTGTGGATAGCCCCGGGGTTAGGGAGTTACGGGTGGTTAAATTCGTGGTCTGGTGCCAACCGATCTAGCGATCCCGGGGGGCTACCGACGAGCGGAGGGTGGCGTTCGAGAGGGCTCCTCGAGCTGAAGGGATCCCCCGAATTTGGTGGAGATCCGCCGGCGCGTTCGCGAGATAGTGACACGAGTCAACACTTTCACTTCAGTAAGGAGGTTTCTTGTTCAGGCAGCATTCACGCGTTGTCTTATTCGACCGTAAGTGCCCTGCGAAGTGGACTTACCATTACATGATTCCAGTTCCAAGGGAACGTACACGTTACAAAAAAAAAAAAACTATCTGAACTGATAAATAACAGATTGGATATTAAAATAATAGCACATTTGTCTAATTTTAAATGAATAATAAAAACTGAGAAAATTTACTATATCGGTATCTGCTTTTTTTTTACTCCCTAATATTGGTATCGGCCCCCAAAAAAACATATCGGTCGGGCTCTACTAATAAACACTAATTTGTACCGCAATTGTTTTAGCGTTTACTGCACTTTTTGTTATCAGACATCCAACGTGAAGCGCTGCGGCTAATGAACTGAAGTCTCGCAAAGAGACAAGTTTTCTTTCCAAGAAAACTGAATTTAAAACCAGAATATAGGGATGGGTGATATCTTATCGTTTGCTATATACCGGTAGAAATTCTCCCCACGATAAGAATTAGTCTTCCTGCGACATCGCGGAAGGCGGACGTGAAATTGAGGAGGAGTTTATCCTAAATGAGGAGCTCCTACAATCTGGAACTGGTTTGGTTAGGGCTGTAGAGTGCACAAAAAAATCGGTCTGAATATATGTACTACAGTAACATGTGTGGGATACAGATTTGCATGTGTACGAGCCTGTTAACAAACCTGTTGTCCAACAAAGATATCATTTATTAACATGCTTTTTCTCCAAATTAACTTCATAACATAGTTGAGTGTTTGAAATAACTCCTTTCTGTGACCAGACGTGGTTTTATATTACAGAATGATAGTATTATAGTATACAGTGATAAAGGCCATGTCGATTAGCCCTGCATTATATACTTTCATTATAAAAAATACCCAAGATTGCTTGAAGAACACAGATAAACCATATATTTTGTGCAATCGTGTGTTTATATTGTCTTTAGTTTCATCAGTTAAAATTCTCCTTTGTGCGTTTTATTCAGGATAACTGGATACCTTTGTCCATATTAGGGATTTCCTGGAGTGTCCTCAGTAGTATTACTTCTGCTATGGAGTTTCTGCGCAAGGTTCCAGCTTCCAGTATGAATTAAAAAGTCAATACATTACGTGTGTACTCAGTAATGCGCACAACACCGTTTTGGGTAAAATAGAAAAGACAATACTTTTCTCTAAAGAAACAGGATTCCCTGAATTATCGTCATTGATATCGTTACCACAATAAATACCAGAAATATCGAGATATATTTTAAAGCCCATATCGCCCATCCCTCCCAGAATATATATATATATATATATAATATATTGAAATAAACTAGGTTAAATATTTAAAAAGGGTTATCAGCGGGTATGTTTAGGGTTAGGAGTTGGTTAGGACAATAATTAAGTGTAACAACTACATAATTCCTTAAAAATAATAATATACAGATTTGAATAGCAAGTGCTATAAAATAGTATGAGCAGCTAATACATATATACAAAAATAAATAAATAAAATAAAAAAATAACAACTATAGGGTCCTAGAAATGACCTGGTCCTGAAACTGCAGCCTCCGGTATTGCAATAGAACAGGCTTATTGAAAAAGCACATTCATTCTCTGCCAGCAGATGGCGCTTTCGGGACGGCAGAAATATAGCGGTTTCCCCGGTAACAGCAGTAAACAAAGCTGGCAAGCACTCTGCAGCGCTCATGTTTATTTAATGAAATCAAAGCCTTTAAGTTTAATCGTTACAAGCCATATCACAATTCTGGTCTTTCCATCCCAAATTTAAGACCTCTTGAAGTCATAATTAAGACTTTCTTATACAATTTAAGACTTTTTCTGGCCTTAAATTTAATACAACTAAATTTAAGAATTAAGGACTCGCAGGAACCCTGCTATAGCCGATGGCCAACTAGCATGTACACTCTGAGCTTGCGTGAGAGAACATAACTCTCCCCTACCAGCAGGTGAAAGTAGCCTGTATTCGGCATTCAAACAGGGAAACCGGAAAAGCTAGAGCTGTGGATATACAAACTGATGGATTTGTGTAACTTTTTCAATCATGTCTGCAAATGGCACAGGCATTGTCAGCCCTGGGACGTCTTCTTGCGGAAACAGAAAAAAGGAGAAATGGATATATTGACAAGTGTCTGTGCGTTCCCTATTTACTCTGTCATGGGTTTGCTTTCATCAGTTCTGTGTTTTCACGTGCTCCCATTCTCCAAGTTGAATAGCCAATCCGAGTTCTCATTCTCACTGACAAGCTACGCTGCCGATTCGACATGCAGAATCGGCTCAAAAACAGCTGACAGTGTCCAACTAGAGCCAACGGTGCGAAACACACTGAAAAAAACTAAAGCCAACCGATGCTCAAAAACCACCAGACATTGCCCGATCATCAGCTTGGTGTGTCCTGGCTGGGCATAAAAGAACACAAAGTGTGTAGGTTTTCATTGTGGTTTCTGGACAGTTGCTAGAATAATGCCAAGGCATTTTAACACAAGTCATTTTTACATGCAACTACCTAGTAACCACTTACTGTATATTGTTATGATATTTTATGTGGTTAGTAGGTAATCGCTGTGTGGTAAAAGCTGGAATTTATTCCTGTGATGTAAAGCTGAATTTTCAGCATCATTACTCCAGTCTTCAGTGTCACATGATCCTTCAGAAATCATTCTAATATGCTGATTTGCTGCTCAAGAAACTATCCTATTAATTTTCTTATTATTATCAGTTTGTTACTAGGAAGCTGGTAAGGTGTTCTGGTGATTCATGGATAATTGGTTGATATAGAGAGAGCTGAACAGAGTGAATGCCACAAAACTTGTGATTGACAGACATCATAATGCAGAGCTGATAAAGGTGGGACTTACTTTCCGCCGCCGCTGGTGATGGCCGGTGTGGTTCTGGTGAGCAGATCCGAGATCTGTGAGGACAGTTTGGTTTTGGCTGCGGTTTGCTGCAGGACTCGTACCTCTGCAGCGTCTGCCAGGTGCATCAGCGTCTTCCTCTCTGGACTCTCCTCGAAGTTCTTGCAGCCCATGCACTTGCACATGGACGAACACATGATCTTTGCCTAATGCGAACAGACAAAATAATGATATCTGGTCCTAAACACAAGTGAAAGCCAACCATATCTTCTAGATGACACTTCCACATTCTTGGCAGTGTGCAAACACTCACCTCATAACACTCGCAGTAGTTTTTCAGACAGCCAGATTTCTTACAGTTGCAGCCTTTGCTGTGTCTTCTGTCTGACTCTCCTTCTTTGCCTTTGCCAATCTTGGGCTTAAAAGCCACAGGGTTTCTGTCTAAACATGCCTGGGAGAAAATACATTACTTAATTTGAGGCCTATAGATTTTCAAAGCATTACAGGAGAACTGTCCTGTACAGCGAGATGAACAAGAGGGCATTGCTATGCTATTGCTAGGTGGTTGTTAACTGGCAAATAGCCCACCTCTAAGTCTCTGTTATTCTAAATTGTGCATCTGAACTAAAAAAAAAAATAATGGCATATTTGAAGTACTATGTCTGTAGTGAGATGGAAAACAACAACAAAGATAAAAAAGAAAGAAAAAACAATGGAGGTCTACAGAAATGCAGTAATCCATTACCTTGATGGCCTTCAGTCTTTCACTCTCATGATCAAGGTTGTTGAAGCAATTAACACAGTTGCAGTTATTACAGAACTCCCCGTTGGCAAAGCAATCGCAATACCTGTGAGACGAGAGATTAAACTCTGAGAGAGTAAACTGCAGCTGCCTTAAGAATTACACTACCGTTCAAAAGTTTGGGGTCTGTAAGATTTAAAAAAAAAAAAAAGTCTCTTTTGCTCACCAAGGCTGCATTTATTTAATCAGAAATACAGTAAAAACAATATTGTGAAATATTAGTACAATTTAAAATGTGTTTTTTAATTTGAATATATTTTTTTTTATTCAGTGATTTAAGCTGTTAGTATGACAGTATTTACACAACTATCATTACTTAGTCGGGTGACCCTTAGCCTTAATGACAGCCTGTAGTCTCCTGGGCATGCTGTCACCCAGCTTCATGCAAACCTGAACTTCAGTTTTTTCCCCAGACTCAGTCTGAATAATTTTTGGTCCCAATTTTTTTTTATCAGTTTTACTGGTAGTCCAATCCAAAGCCACTCATATAATGCAGAAACACTCAAGCAAGCAAAACACGCGCACGTGCGTGCACGTATTTGTACTGATGCAGGGTAGCACAGCCTAGCGCATTTCTCATAAGCTGCTAGATTCACTTTCGCCTGAAAGTCATGCATGCCTAAGATTGAAAATAAATGTTTATAGTGAATGCCCCAATAAATGGTCTTATTTTTACGATTTAGTTTTAATCCAAATGATGCGTGTGCTCAGTGAGTGAACATCAAAGATCACACAACAGAATTGCGCACGCTCTCTCTCTCTCTCTCTATCGTTAAGCAACTTGTGCATTGTTTTACTTACTTGTTTATGACACATCCGACCGAACTACAAACTTTCCAGTGATGTCTGTGAGAAAGGTATATTCACTCGACAAGCTCGCGCATCTGCGCCGCCGCGCCTCAATCCACTCAGCGTGCTTTGTTTATCAGCTCGTGCACACCAGCTATACAGGCGTTAATGCTGAATGTTTAACATTATATTCATTGCATACATATACTTCGTATACATCCTTAATCTCTAATAACTCCATTCTGCTGTTTGTTGTTCTGTTGTCAGTGTTTCTTTGTCTGAATATGGCACTTATCACATGCTGTGTGGTATCGGCGTTTGGTATCGGGGCATTTTAACGAGTACGAGTACAGGAGCTCAGTATCGGGCCCGATACCGATACCAGTATCGGTGCATCCCTAATTATCAATGTTGAAAATGGTTGTGCTGCTTCATATTTTTTGCTGCTTTATATTTATCAGAGAACCTTGAAAATATATTCACTTAAAAAAAATAGCATTTCTTTGAAATAAAAATTTGTAACATTATAAATGGTTTTGCTGTCACTTATCAATTTTTAATGCATCTTTGCAAAACAAACAACAAAAAACCACAACAACAACCTTACCAACCCCTAACATTTGAATAGTGGTACATGTGATGCTTCAGACAAAGCTTAAAAACAATTGGCACTGCCAGTGTGTAAACTGCTTGACAGAGGGTGCTTGTAAGCAATAAAATTACAAGCTATACTGGCACCTCTGTTAATCTGCTTCCTGTCTGCCAGAATAAACTGTTCTTGCTGGTGACAGTATGAGAACTGAACTGCAGATTGTTAAAAGGAAGGAAGTATTATACAACTGGATCTGGAAACTATGAAACCACTTGCCAAATGTAGCAGCTGAAACAGATTACACCCTTCATATGGGCCATTTTCAATTTTCAGAGAATGGAAAACAAATGACGGGTGACACTTACAACTTCAGACACTGTGACCGTGTGCAGTTGCAGGGTTTTCTCTGCCTTGAAGCTGCTTCAGACGTTGATAAACTATAATAATACACAGACAGAATGTAACCCGATGGTTAATTTTAGCCTGACCGATATATCGTTTTGCCGATTTTATCGGCCGATATGAGACTGCTGCAGAAATATCGGCATCAGCGAATATGCTGCAAATATGCCACCGATACATTTTTTTTTTACAGAACATATAACCAGAGAAAATGCTTTTAAATGGTGTAATTACTTAAGTTTGTTACTGGTACCAGGTCATGATGCAGAAAACTCAAGACGGAATCACGGAATCCAGTCATAAAAACGAAATTTACTGTATAATGCAGAATTTCACAGAATTTGTCATTTTTGATGATTAAATTAAAAAAATAGGTAGGTCAGTACAATTAAATCAAACCATGATACAGACTAGTGTCTGTGAATAATTAACTGCAAAAAGACTATTTAAATATGAATCCTCATGTTCTTTATTCAAGTTATATACTGTATATACAGTATATATATATTGTTCTATTTGTGTTAAGTTATTTATAATAAGTGAAGTTTACTGTTAAGTACACTGATGTCACTCATTTTTGATAATAAAATTTGTTAAATTGTTAAATACCCTGCCTCCATTACATATCTTTGTCATTTTGACTTAAGTCATTATAAGTATTTGATCACCCTATTTGAGTGATCATTGCAAAAAAATGTTTACGTAAATAAATTGTATTCTACCAGTCAAAAGTTTAGATACACGAATGGGGAAGTGTGTCCAAACTTTTGACTGGTACTGTACTATAATATACACAAAGAATATTGGCCGATAAATCGATATCGGATTTATTTTTATTCCCTAATATCAGTATCGGCCTCCAAAACACATAGCGGTCAGGCTCTAGTTAATTTGTATATACAGGTGCATCTCAATAAATCAGAATGTCATGGAAAAGTTAATTTATTTCAGTAATTCAACTCCAACTGTAAAACTTGTGTATTAAATAAATGCAATGCACACAGACTGAAGTAGTTTAAGTCTTTGGTTCTTTTAATTGTGATGATTTTGGCTCACATTTAACAAAAACCCACCAATTCACTATCTCAACAAATTAGAATACTTCATAAGACCAATAAAAAAA